GGAGAGCAAGATGCGACTCCTACCCTGAGTTGTTTGATTTAGGTAAATTTTCAAGGATGAAAATATTCTAAGTGGGGGAGAGTTGTAGCGCCCGTAATTTAATTAATTATTTAATTAAATTGTTTTTGGAATATTTGAGAAGATGTGTTGTGATTAATTGAATTTAATTATTTTATTAAGTGGTGAAATAATATTAGAAGTATAATATTATTTGATGTGAGCTTGTTTTAAGGAATGGAAGTAGTAATAAGGGGGTGTAGTAGTTTTAAGCCCAATAAGTAATAAAGAATAATAGGTTAATTTATTGTTGATAGAAAGAATAGAAAAAAGGAGGCAGTAGAAGAATAAGGATTGAGAAGAAGAACATGAAGCTGCTGGAAAAAGAGGAAAAACGGCAGAATGAGGTTTCAACCGGAAGATTATAGAGCGACCTTCAATCCAAGATAAAGGTGGGGTTCTGACTCTGTAATTGGGTTCATGATAATTGATATGTGGGATTAGATGTGAAAGTGTTATTTTACTCATGAATTGAATGTATATGTTGTTGTATAATGAGAATTTGATGATTGAAAGATGAATGATGATGTGCCGATGTTGTGTAATTGATGTAGGATTATAGGATAACTGTAAGTGATGATTATCTATGATTAGATTAGGTTTTTAGGGCTTAATGCATGAAACCCGTAGTGAAAACGCAGAGAAAATCACAGAAATTATGCAGGATAGAACATGATGTGTCGACCCCAAATGTTATGTGTCGATACAAGAAGGTTTTGAGACTCAGTATGAGTCGACACGAAGAGGCCTTACATCGATACATGAGGACCTTTAGACTCAGGATGAGTCGATACGTAGGGGGCATGTGTCGATACATGTTGTGTGTTAAACTCAGGATGAGTCGATACAAGAGAGGATGCGTCGACTCATGTTGCGAGTTCAGTGCAGTACGCGTCGATCCAAGACGTTATGCATCGATCCATGTTGCCTGGTTTTTGGCAGAATCAGTTTGAGAATGCTGTAATTTGAGTTTTTGGGCTCCGTTTGAGGTGTCGTTCGAAGCGTTTAATAGATAACACGACGAGCTTTATTCTTAAGGGTTAAAATGAAGATAGGAAGGATAACCATAGGATTTTAATTAGTTCCCGTGTTGATCGTTATGTTGGTTTTGTGGAGAAGAACGACGATGAGATGCTTAGAAGCTGCTGTTTGATTTGTAACAGTAGGATTAATAATAATAACGATGTAATATTACGGAATAGTAGTATGTAGAGATTTAGTGATTTAGAAGTAAGCCTTAGCTGGTTAATTAATTATAAGCAATATCTAGTATAGGCCTATGGCCAACGTTGTGAAATTGATGAGTTATTGTCGTATTAAAGTACAACTGAGTTGTTGATGAGTTGTTATTAATGAAGTTGTGTTTGATGAATAAATGATGTTTGATAAATTATTATGAATGATATGAGATGTTTGATGAAGAGATGTTGAGATGCTTTTGAGATGTAGGCCTTTGGTCAACGATGATGTTGTATTGAGATGTTGTTAATTGTGGTGTTGTTATTACATTCATGATTGTGTCGCATACATTGCATTTTGAGATGGAGCTTATGCTCGTTGAGATGACCTGTATTGGAGAATATTGAGATGAAGGCTTATGCCTTGTTGATGCCTCTATTAATTGGAAATTTTTTGAGATGAGAGTTCTGCTCCAATGGTACCACATGCATTTGCATAGTATTGAGTCGCATTATTTGATTGCATACAGAAGTTGTGCATTGATGTTGTGAATGTGTATTATTGTTGTGATTGTTGTTGATTATGAGATAAGAAGTGGTGATGTTATGTGATCTAATTTAATATATTAATTATCATACGCTTTATTATATTGTTAGATATCTCACCCCTTCTGTTTGAATGTTGCCCTTATGTTGGTAACGTGCAGGTAATCGAGAGTGAAGGCTGTATACCTTTAGTAGTTCAAGTCGGTGTCATTGCTCTGATATGTAACACTCGGGGGGATGAACGCTTGTTGCTTTTGATTGTTGATTATTCAGTTGTTGAACTTTAAGTTGATTATTATTAAATTGTGTTGTTTTGAAGTTGTTGCAATGATGATAGAGATGTTATTAAGAATTTCCGCTGCGTAGATGTTGAATTATTTAATTAAAGATGCCATGACGATGGTTCATCCGATGTTTTAAAAGTGTTATATATCCACGATGAATGCAATGAATTTTGATAGAAGAATTTGTGGCATCCCGATTCGTTTGCATGAATGATTTTTATAACTCTGATTTATTTATATAATTTGTCGGGGTAGAAATTGGGGTGTTACACCCCCATTTGTAAATTTGTACCCCCATCCCTAAATGATATAATAGCGTAGGGTTTTACATTTTCGCAATTTATCGTTTTCAAGTATAAATGCTAGTAATTAGGGTTTGTATGATAAGACATAAAATCAACAAATAGATAACCCTAATCAAGACTAAATGCATGTAAATCAAACCCAATTGCACACTAGCACCTCTAGGATAATCTCACTTTATTACTTTTCAGAAAATAGTCATGTCCCTCGAATATGGGCGTTTTAACAAAGACCCTCGCTAAAAGATCGTAGTCCCTCAATGACCCTCAATGTTGCCTTTGGTAAACGATATAGTCCCTAAACGATATTGCTAAAACGTCCCACAAGTTGCCTTCAATGACTATACAAAATGTCCCGCATCCGTCCCTTCACATCCAACGATGAGGCTTCTTACTAAAACAATGGTAAGATAACAACATCTAAAGGAGGAGCAAAAGAACGTTTAAGACCTTTTGAGTAGGTAGATTGCTCCTAGTTGCTCGCTTGCTCACAACAAAAACATTTCATACACCAAACACTTTCATTTTGAAACATTTTCAAAAGACAACACTTTGTATGCGTTCTTATAGAGACGAGAACCATTACAAAGACACCTTTTCAAAATCACTTTCAAAAAACAAAAACTTCTTTGAACTATTTTCCAAATAACACTTTGTATGCGTTCTTACAGAGACGAGAATCATTACAAAGATACGTTTTCAAAATACTTTCAAAATCACACCACAAAGCATACTTTCAAACAAAAGCAAGTGATCTAGCAAACAACTAAAAGCCTATAGATAACTATGGATGAAAATGGTGATAACACCTTCTCTTTTCACAATCTACCCCCCGAACTCAAGAAATAATCTCGAAAGGTCTTTCCTGTTCTTTTCAACCTTTCCTTTTGGATAAAAGAAGTTGGTGGCGACTCTTGCTAACCGCAACAATTGTGATCAAACGCAAAATACCCTAGTCAATTCTCCCACCGTGTTACAACGAGAATGCAAACGTAAATAATGGGCCTTAAGACACTATATATAGAGCTGACGTGGAATCCAAAACGTCGCGTCGGGTAACTCAATAACCGCCTTTCTCCCCGACACCTACACGCTCAGCTAATGATGACCCCTACTCCCTAGGCCATCACTGCAATCCCAAAGATCACGCCACATGCCTACACCCCACAGGGTTTCCCCTCTCCACGACTAGAATGGTCCCATCTCGAGTCCATTCTGAATGCTGCTCGGGTAAACCCATGAACCGACGACTTTCTCCGTCAACACAATGAAATATCCTCGTCGAGCAACGCACGCGTAAAAGAAAAAGCTGGACTTAAGTCATAACTCCTTCATCAGGAACAACGACTTGGGGGGCTCATGTTCTGGACTGGGCCTGCCCTTGACCCAACTCCATGAGAGGCCCAATCCAATTATGTCGATTAAAGTATATTGACCAGTTCTGCCCTCGAGATCGTCGGGCATCAACTCCCACTCTCCGCGAGGAGGCAACCTCATCGCACGAGGATAAATCCAGTCAGTCTTAGGAAGATCATCGTCATTCAGGAGGACCTCGAGGTCACCCTCCGATCATCTCCCAGACCAAGGCTGATCACCTCACACGACCTCGCGTCTGACAGGGAGCATCCACGACGAGTAGAAGCGCCTCACGAGCATCCTCCTCGTAGGGTTGACTGTCAACGTCTCCGAATATCGTAGAGTCTTCGTGGCCTCGGAAAGACCGCATCCATATCCTTCTGATCTTGCGGAGGAAGTCATCCAGATGGGGGACCACGTGCGAGTCCTCACTATTCACGTAGAACCTGACAGTCTCCACTTTGGGCCTGTTTGATCAACCTAATGAGGAGACCTTGACCCAACGCTGGGGGCTATAAATACCATCTATTTCAAGAGGGTCAGATATTGAATATTTTCTTACTCTCTTGCTTGCTTGCTCATTCCGCATCTCACTTTGGCATCAGAGTGTCTTTCAGGTACCCTCACCTCACTCTCAAGTTCTGCTCGAAGTAAGCTGTGACGGTCCATTCTGGTCAGGTACAATCAAATATATTTTATATTGTATCAAATAAAATTTCTATTTCACGGAACACTATCAGTACGATACATATTTTATTTTAATCAATAATTATTTTAATTAAAAAAGTAAAAATTTTATTTTCAAATATTAAATATTTCTTTTTTTTCTCTTTCAAATTCTTTTTTTTTTCTTTATATTTTAATATAATTATATTTATATAATCATTATTCGTTTTAAAATTTAATAATTAATTTTAAATTTAAATAAATATTTAAATATGTTTTATATCTTATTAATTAAATTTACTTCGCAGCCGCGGATATTTAATTAGTTACGAGTAGTATCTTTCTTCTATTTTCTCTTTATTTTAATTTTAATTTTATTATATATAATATATTTCTTTGAACAACAGTTTAAATTAAACCCCAAAAAACACACAAAAACCCTAAAATAAAAATAATAGCGGCCTCTTGACAATTCGGAGTCGCAGTGAACTCCAGGCAGCCGCAGAAACAAAACACAAAAGCCACAAAATCGACACCCAAACCAGCGCGATTTGCACCGTACTTGAAAACTACCATCGATTTTGAAGTTCAGTAGAACAAGAGATTCATCAATGGCGAAGAAGAGAAAGGAGAGGATTCTAAACCCCGAACCCTTCGTTCCAGAAGGTACTGAATATGCCAAATCGAAGAAATCCTCCAAAGCTGCTAGAAAGCACCAGCAGGAAGGGGACCTCATTGGTTCTCACATCAGTTCTAAGATCACGAAACAGGCTTTGATTCAGCTCAAGGAAGTTGAAGATGAAGATGAAACTAACGAGCAAAATGTTACCAGAAGTTCGTTCCAGGGACTCGAAGAAGACCCGCGCAAGGTGGAGGAAGATGGTAATGGGGATGATATTGAGGATATTGATGAGTTTGCTGGATTCGATGAAAATCAAAGCCAATTTGGGGGATTTGATGTGAGTCATCTCTCTCTCTCTCTCTCGTTGATTCTTATTTTTTAAAAATTTATTTTGTTTGGTTGAGTTTGTGTTGTATTTATATGAAAATTTGGCTTTATTAGGGATTCTGAGGAATTAGGTTTAGAATTTTGAGATAAATAGCATATATGGGTAATCAACTTAATTAAGCTTGTGTTTGGTTATTCGGTGAAAATAATTGATTTTGAATGAATTTATTATGGAAAAATTGATTCTAGATAAATGTGAGTTGAACGAAAATTGATTTATGTTTGGATAAATTTCCGTAGAAGTGAGTTGAAATGAGTTGAACTGGAAATTTCAATGTAAATATCACGTTTAAATTCAAAAGCTACAAATTCTAGCTTCAGGTAGAATCAATTCGGAGACTTAATCAATTCTACTTTAGAAGAAGCAAACACTTCAAAATCAATTCTACATCTTTAGAATTGCTTTTGAATCTTCCAAAAGCTAAACCAAACGTACACCAAGTGTTTATTCTAGCATAAATTATATATAAACTATTTTTGTAACAAAAGATTAAATATATGCGAGCTGTATTCTTATAAGTTATAAGCTGTTTTCATGAGCTATGGTAGAGAGTTTAGGGAAATAAGTTGAAAACAATATATGTACATGTCCTAAGATGATGTGTTCTAAAGCTCTCATAAACTGTCTTACAAGTGTTTAAGCAAGTTAATAAGCTCAAATAAGTCAATCCAAATAGGTGGTAACTGCATTGTGCATTTTCTTCTTACATGTTGAAGCTAAAGAGTTGTTAGTAATGGTTATTTATTGCCAATGATTTTGTACTGTATTGGGTTTATTTGCTTTTCACCTCTCTTTGTTTATGATAGTGACTTTGGTTATTCTGTCTTGATTATTGGAATTTCAGGAAATTAACGAGGACGACGAGAAACTGATGGATGCATTCTTATCCAAGGACTCGGGTTCCCAGACAACACTTGCAGACGTTTTGGTTAAAAGATTAAAAGCAAGTGATTTTACTGTTGCTTCAGGTAATAATATTAATCTGCATTTATTTTCCTTATCTTTGTTTTAGTGTATTGAATGTTTTCAGCTTGATTTGGGCTCTGATTTTTATTCTTTCTCGTTGTTTATGAATTGCTATGTGTGCAGAGAATCGACCAATGCCTAAAGTGGACACATCTGTTATGGAGCTCTACAAGGGGTATTTATAGTTTCCATTTCAAATTCTTTTATGAACACATGTAGATCAGATAAACGAATTCATTTCCATTAAGATACATAGCTGGTTACTATGAAGTTTTCACATCTTGCATCACTCCTGGTGCCATCTTTCATATTGCAGGGTTGCAACTCTTCTTAGCAGATATACAGTAGGCAAAATCCCCAAGGCATTTAAATTCATCTCCTCAATGAAAAATTGGGAGGAGGTCTTATATATTACTGAACCTGAAAAATGGTCACCAAATGCTGTGTATCAAGCCACTAGGCTTTTTGCTTCGAGTTTAGGTGCAAAAAAGGCTGAGCGTTTCTACAGGCTTGTGTTGCTTCCAAGAGTGAGAGAAGATATAAAAAAGAACAAACGACTGCATTTTGCTTTATATCAAACATTGAAAAAGGCATTGTACAAGCCTGCTGCTGTCTTTAAGGGAATACTTTTTCCACTATGTGAGGTACATAATTATTTCTAGGTTTTTAATTTTTATGTTTCTAACTAATGATTGGTCAGTATTTTATTCAGTTCTGTATGTGATAAATTCTGTTAATCCTTCAATTGATGGTAAAGTTCTGTTATTCCATCGTAATACATCTTTAAGCTTCTGAACATCTTAAGGAATAACTTTCTGATGCTACAGTTTGTGCAATCTAAAATGGGATATTAATAAACTATGTATTTGGATGTTGAGGAATTGGTGTGTTGCACATCATCTAGGCTTTGTCTGGATTGATAGAATCGGATGGAGCGGAGCAGAATGAGATGGAATAAAATGATATTCCATTGTTTGGATAATTTAAAAATGGATGGAGCGGAGCAAAATGGAGTGGTATGGATTCCATTCCATCCCATCAGTTACCACCATATTCCTTCCCCTCTGATTTGAGTGGACTGAACAACTTACCTTGTTCCGTCCTAAAATTTCCAAACAATGGAATGGTATTTTCGTTCCGCTCCGCTCTATAATGACACCTGTGTTTGTTTTTCTGTTATAATTATTGGAAAAAGATGTAATAACATGGGCGTAATTGGAAAAATTAATTAAATGTATGAATTCTGTTTGGAAAAGATGAAATAACATTGGTGTAGAATGGTGGGTTAACTAGAAAAAGGTGATTTTAGTCGATTCATTGATGTGCTGTGAATGATTTGGCAATAATGGTCAATAGGTACTTGGCAGTTGACAGGTAAAATGTGCCACTATGATTATGGGGAAAACATAATCTTTTAATTTTAGGTTTGTCATATTGTTGTAAATCTCCCCTTGTTTTTGCTTTTGTTGCCTTCTCTGTGTATTTTTGTTTTTGGTACCTTTGTGTAGTGGCTTTTACAACTACATGCATATTTGCTATGGTACTATTTTTGTAAAGCATATCCACCTTCACTTATGCATTGTAGAATGACAAATACATTTCATTTTATTTAAGGAATTAATAATTTATACGAGACACACACTCACCCACCCCTTGCTGATAATCATGGTTTTTAATCTACCCATTTAAGGAGAACAAACTATTTTATTTTTATTAAATTTTACATAAGGGTATTGCCAACGAGTGTCTTAAGGGCTTTGTTTAAGGATTTCAAATAAGGTAATTATTTATTGAAAAGATAAGTATATATATCTCCTTAGTGTATTAACTTAAGTGCATAACTTCTCAAAAAAAATTCTTTTTAGGTTTGCTAAACTCTCAGCACACTCATTAGTGTTTACCTTTACCTAAACCATAAGTGTTGTAAACAAAACCTAGAAACTCGCATAATCATTCCTTTTCCTTTTTGGTTTGACATTATTTTTCATGTACAGTCACGCACATGTACTCTAAGGGAGGCAGTCATTGTTGGAAGCATTATAGAAAAGTGTTCTATTCCTCCACTCCATTCAAGGTATGTTAACTTGATCAATCCTAACTTGAATTATTATAGAAAAGTGTTCTATTCCTCCACTCCATTCAAGGTATGTTAACTTGATCAATCCTAACTTGAATTATTATAAATTTGATGCAAGGAAGCAAGTGTTTGGTTATCTTTTGTAATATTGCCTTACCATCATTACCTAGTAATATTACTTGCATCTTTTTTCATTGTCTAGTTAATTGTGCAATCTTTGATTTCCAGATTTTTTCCCCCCGTAGCACCTCTAATAAACTTAAAATGGATTTTTTGAATTATTTTAAATAGGAATTGCTCTCTTTTCTAGAACCATTTTGTTTCTTTATGTTATACTTTCCTCAATTTACCAACACTGAAGCAAGTCAAAAAGATCATGGAAAGTCTATTTTGCTTGCATCTAAAAGTTCCTGCTTGAAGTTGTTACTTAGTGTACACCTTTCATATGGTGATTTAAATTATAAGCTTTACTTAATTCTATTGAGTATGTCAATACTCACCCTAACTTCTGGATGTTTATACAGTGTTGCGCTTTTGAAGCTTGCAGGGATGGAGTATTGTGGCACTACAAGGTATTCATCGTTGTAGACATTTGTTAGATAATAGTCATAATACAATTTGGGTGATAGAATTGTTAGTGGGGCTTGAATCATGGCTGTTGTAGACATTTGTTAGATAATAGTCGTAATACAATTTGAGTAATAGAATCGTTAGTAGGGCTTGGACCATGGCTTTTGATATCATGAAATAGGAATTCAAATATAAAATATTGCTTAAAATATATTTTCCACGAAAAGAATCACACTTTTGCTGTTTCTAGACTGATAGTTAGGTGTAGACAATTTTTATGTTATGGTAAAATAAAATGACAGCAGCTGATGATAATAGCGCTTAAATACAATTTGTTCTTGAAAACATGCCATTTATGAAATTGGGCCCTATTTGAATGAAAACTCTTGCAGATAAACGTTTGAAGTTTTCCACATAGAAAAAGTACATGCTTTTAGAGACTAATAAAAGCAAACACAGTTCAAATATGTTTACAACACACTAATTTAAAAAATGACATATTTTTGAAGGACTAGATATTCACTAAATTAAGCTTTAATAATAATATCATGTAATAGTTTATTGAATATTTTGACACTTAAATTTTAACAATCTTGATTGTGAGAAAAGAGCCTGATCACACTACAGCACACTTGATGAATTGATTAATATGTTGATTTGTCACTTCTGAAATAGAGCACACAATGGTTTCTCAAAAACTCATTTTCCTCCTCTCAATATCTGATAGATGCTAATTGTGATAATAATTGCAGTTATTTCATCAAGCTTTTACTGGAGAAGAAATATGCTTTGCCGTATCGTGTGGTCGATGCAGTTGTTGCTCATTTCATGAGATTTGAAAGTGAAACTAGGAAAATGCCTGTTATATGGCACCAATCACTTCTTGCATTTGTGCAGAGGTCAGTTTCACCATTTTATGTTAATTTTTGTGCACATATCTGTTTTTTTTAAAGGATATCCAATTGGATCATGATTGATACAAACATTAACTAGGAAAATGAAACTCCAGTAATGGAGTTGAATATTTATTGAATTGTGGAAAAAAAAGGAAAATTTGGATACGGAGAAACCATGTTGTCAATAGTGCATTATAGTGATAGTGTAGCAGAGGGTCCGCTAGCGACTGCAGGATATACAGTAGTGGAGCAGTTTGTTATAACTTCAGCTATAGTGACCATAATAGCGGATATCAGTGCTGCATCTTAATGATATCAAAATATTCAAAAAAATCCCTTAAGTTTAAAAGATAGGGCTTTTTGCTTGTGATATTTTAGGATTTTTTTTCAAACATAAAACACCTGAATGGCATTTAGGTTTTCTCCCCTCTTACTCTGTCCCACTTTTGATGTCACTTTTCACCCTTTCACTGGTCAGTCACAGACAGGGAATGGATGGAGAGGAGAATGGAATAATGCATTTGGGCTAGAGGTATGGTAAGGAGCTAGTCTAAATGTTTCATTCAGCAAAGTCAGTTCTTAAAGGAGAGTCCATTATCCCCCACATATTTTTCCCACTTTTTATTATTTCTGTAATCACACTGATTTGGAGTTGGAGGGACAATATTCCATGAAAAATATTGCTTAAAAAAATATTCTATTAATATTGCTTATAAAAAATATGGATCTCACGTGTTAAGCTGTCAAATGTTCTAGCAATGATTGATGTCCTTTTGATTTTTGAATATTAAGCCTTTTCTGACCCCGGCATTTTGTTTCAGGTACAAAAATGAACTGCAGAAGGAAGATAAGGATAATTTAAAGATTCTTCTGGAAAAGCAGAATCATCCATTAGTGAGAGCACTAGATCTGACAGCCTATTTATCTCGTTTTCTTTTGTGGCTGTGACTGATTTTAACTTTCTTACTACAGGTTACACCTGAAATAAGTAGAGAGCTAAACAACAGCCGTAACCGAGGTGAAAAGGAGGATGATCTCATGTCAATATATATCCTTTTCTTTAATTTTTTTGCCCTCCCTTTCCCTACTCTGCTTTCATAAGGTTAGATACGAATGACATTACATGTTGTTCGGTGGCCTTGAGGTAAGATCAGGACATGCTTAAAAGTAAGAAAATACATGTGAAAATTTCTATTGTTACTGCAAATGGCATTTTTTTATTGTTACTTCAAGTGGCATGTAGGGTTTTCCTCAGCGGTAGCCCATTTTGATTGAAGGGTTTTCATGATCCAAATCAAACATCTTTTTAAAAATATAGCATGTGTCTGATTCTAATAACTTATTTCGTATATTAATATTGTGAGAAAATGTGTTGTTGCCTACTCTTTCCTTGACAAATCAATACCCGCTCCAGTATTTGTTATTAACAAGACTATTGAAGAAGATAGATTTGACATTCCAGATGTACCAATGGAGTTGGACTGATCAGAGAGGTATGGTTATTCTCTCATCTTGTCTCTAGATTTTTCTATTTTAGTGATATGGTTCTTTCCTAGGTTTTATAGTAGAACAAGAATTCTATGGTAGTCCTTTTTTCTCACCTTGAAGTTATTAATAAAATCTTACTAATTAGTATTATGTATTTATATTTATATAGATCAAAATACCCTTTTTAGTATTATGTATTTATATTTGGCAGCTTCTTTCTATTATTTGCATGTTATTATAAAGTCTTGAAACACACGTTTTCTGTGGCAGGTTTTCCCCTTGGAGAATATAAGTACACCCCCTCATCTTCATACAAGAGTGTATCTCTCCCCAATTTTGTACTCGGATGCAGATGATGAATTGGATTTTCATGCTTTATGCATTTTTTTGGGCGAATATTCGACAACTGCATTTTTTTTGCTTGTTTCTTTTCCTAAGATACTTACCATCGGGGTCGTCTAATATTATTGAAATTATAATACATCATATAATGTTACATTGTTCAACCGTTTTTATTTTGGTGTGGATTAAATTGTAGAGGTGTATTTATTTCCTAGCGTGGTCGGACATTGTATTATTATTTATTACTATAGCTCATTTTGCTTGTCACTTTTCGTATTTGCTGCTTAAAAACTCAATTATACTATGCGAGACTTGTTTTTTTCTCCAACATTACTTCTAAAGATCAATCAAAATAAGTTTTTGAGAGATTCAAATACGACATTAGTTTTTGGTTATGCTTTTTCTATTTCAGATGTATTTTTTTGGTTATACTTTTTCTATTTCAAAGGCATTTTTAAAAAATGCATTTGTTTGGAGACACATCTCTACTTAAAATCACACCAATAAGAGTGTTGCAAGTGAAACACATCTATTTTATCTAAAAAAAAAAAGGTTTAGAGATGTATCTCCATATCTCTATAGAAATTTGATTTTTTGTATTTCTGAAAAAACTTTTTTTTTTTTTACTTTTGACAGATTTCGGTTTTTTGTATTAACAGTTTTTTGAAAAATTCATTTTTTTTGTTTTTTCTAAAAAAATCCGTTTTTTTCTGAAAAAAGTTTTTTTTTCGAATTTCCAAAAATAAGTTAATTTTTTTCCGTAATTCCAAAAAAAATTATTTTTCGTGTCAAATTTATAAAGAGAGTTATTTTTAAATTTTTAACATATCTTATTTCTAAAACTTTATACCATAGGTGAAGAGGGTTATTTTTGGATTTTTTATGGTATATTTTCTAAAATTTATTGTTTTTTAAAGTTTCATACACAGATGTCAAATATATAAAAAGGGTTATTTTGGGATTTTTGGTGGTATGTTGTTTTCTAAAGTTTTATATGGATTTTATTTAATCTAATAACTTATTTTTTATGTGATAAATGGGTTAGAGGATTCTATCTTAAATTCAATTGTCACCCGTAGACCTAGTGGTTATGTCCAGCCCTTAAGAGTCAAATACATGGAAATTAGATGTTTAGAACAATACTGGTTATGTCCAGCCCTTAAGAGTCAAATACATGGAAATTAGATGTTTAGAACAATACATGCAGAATCTTTATTTGGGAATTTCTTAATATTCCTATATACTTTTTATGAACTTATCACATTATGTATTTAGAGGAGAGTATTCAGATATGCATGTTTGAAATAACTTTTTTGTCAAGATCAAGGAGATTTCGCATGTGCATCTCCGAATCAACCTCATAATCTAAGTTCAGGGGATTTTCATAATGCATATCGAATTGTTTTAAATATATATTTTGACAGAACCTCTCATTTTCTTTTTTGTTCATTCGGAGTTGTTTTCCCTCATTGTATTCATCCAAATCTCTCTTTTCTAAACTTTGAGTAAGTTACTGGAGCATCTGAGTAAATTTTAACTCATTTCAACAATCCTCTAAAGCTCTAAATTTGAATAAGTTTCTCTGAATCTATTGTTCTATTTTGCATGTGTATAATAGGTTATTTAGAATCATTTCAATTCCGTAGGTTATTTTCATTGTTGTGTTCATATCATTTTTCGTTTGTCTGTTTATTAATGTTTTAATCGAATTACGTATTAAATCTTTGTGTTTATTAGGGGTCACACTTTGTAACACTGCAAGAAAAAAACTCAAAGTACCAGTGTCTAAGAGAAACGAGTGACTTCCAAAAAATGTATGCATGTGTCCCATTTTAAGTTCAAAGCAATTTATCTTTCAAGTTTCAACATTGCGTTTTCTTTTTCAAATTGTCTTTACTTTGATTTATTTTATTCAACATTTCTTAACCTTTATTTAGTTTCATATCCAATTCAAACACAACCATTTGAAAAATTAACACTTTATTCTAGGATTTTGTAGCCGATCCTGCAAGTAAACTTTAATTAAGAGGTTAGAGATTATTTTCCAGAAACCTGTGCAAACAACACCCCAACCACTTAACTCAAGCAATACTTGAATCCCATTAAACCCCTCTCTAGAAGAACCTTATATGGATCTTAACAATCTTCTTCTAGACGTTGATAGACATCCCGAGGAAAGATAAGAAGAAGACGAGAATAACATTAAGAATTGAGTTTAATAACACTACCCCCCTAAGCTTATATACTAATGCCTCCACAAGTTCAACCATCTTAAAAATTAATAACATTAGAGATTGTCACGTAGACTTGACACGAAAGTTAGCCCTCACTAGAAGAATTAAATATTTGAAAGAAATTAACTCAATCTTATCGTGCAGAAAGTTTCTAGCTAAAATTAAAAAAAGGGTAGAATTTACATTAATCCGATGAAACTACTATTTAAAATATTTGTCTTCGTATTCTTTTGTAATTTCAGTGGATAAATTATTATTATTTTTTATATTAATGTCTGAAATCTAAATGCGTTAAAATTAGGTCACTAAGAACATCCACATCGGTGGGTGCTACATAAATATCAAAAAAATTATGTAAGTAAATTTAAATTATTTCAAATATATGAATTGCAATATTGTTCAAATGGTGCTTTGTAGGGCACTGTAGTATTAATTTGAAATAAAATTAAATGAATAATAAATAATATTAATTATAAATGCAACAACTCCATTTTTCAACAATAAAATGTAACAACTCTATTTTTCAAACGGTCATTTTTTCTTCTATGTATACTTGAATAACTTTTTTTTAAAACTTTACATATCTTCAAAAATTTTCAAAACAATTTTTTTTTTATCGAATCCCAACCACCATAATTCTTGGTCCAATTTTATACAAAATGGTGGCAACCTTTCTTCTATCCTAAATCTACAAAAACACCTCATATATTGAAAATGCATCTCATAATCCAAATTCACACCATAATCCAAAAATTTAAAATTCTATTTTTATCCCAAATCCACTAAATAATCTATATTTTGGAAATTACATATATCATACATCACATTTTCCATATCAATATCAACAACTTTCATCTCAATCAACTAATTCTATTATGCCTCATAAAGTTCATATGAGTACTAATGGTGTGAAATCAAATGATCAAGAGTCTGAAATACCATAATTTTACACTCAAGATGGTTGGAAATGGAAACTATCAACCTTGATGAAGATGTTGGAACCACATCGGATGTAAATATGCCAAAAACAAGATTTCAATCAAAGGAGGATGAGCTTCTCATTCAGTCATGTCGCAACATTTCAAAGGATCAAATTGTTGGGGTGGATAAAAAAGGAGACAACTTTTGGAAGAGGATCGGTGAAACTTAAAATAAGCACCGCGACAAGAATTTCCAAGAGAGGAAACCAATGACATTAAAATGTTGATGGCACAAAAAGATTAACCCATCTGTTAATAAATTTGTTGGGTGCTACAAGCAAGCTATGGATTAAAAAAAATGGGAGCTCCTAGAGCAACATCATTTCAACTGCATATGATATTTATTAACAAGATGAGGGTGAAAAATTTATATTTAATAGTGCATGGATATTATTAAAAGATGAACTCAAATGACTTGCAGGTTCATCAAAACCTTATGCAAAGAGACAAAGAATTCATCTTTTGGAGCATATTCGTCATCTTCTAACCCTCTAAAACCAACAAGCAGCGAATGCAATCGACCATCACCTTCTTTGTTACGTCAACCAATCGGTCAAAAGGAGGCCAAAAGAAAGGAGAAAGAAAAGCTAGTGGAAATATCAATGCCCAATGTCAAATATAATACTTTGAAAGATGAGTTCCAAAAGAAATATGAATTGATGTCAGAGTTTGTACGGAATTATGCACATATTGAGGGTGAAAAAGTTGAGACAGAGAAGAAAATGATGGATGTAGAGAAGTATAAGGATGAAAGAGATATGGTAATATTGAAGATCAATGATTTGCAAATACTTCTAAAGTATACATCAAATATGAATTCAAGACAACTGCAAGCTCATGAGTTATTGTGTGACGTGATTAGAGAAAAATATGAGCTTGATTAATATAATTATGTATGTTGAATAGTTGTTAGATTCACATTATTATTATATTTATTTTAGTATATCACTGGTTGTTTTTAGATTCCTATGTGTTTTTAGTATTCATACTCAATATTATTCAAACTAGTTGTTATTTGTACTAGCCGTATTCAAACCCAATATTATTCAACCTAATCATTATTCAAACTAGTGGTTATTCAAACTAGCCGTTATTTGTAGCCCTATAAATTCTCTTAACATGAATAATAAGTTTCACACTCTTTTCCAACTTATCTTCCTCTTAATTCAATATTAGATTTCTCTTCACATGGATCCTTCCAACCCTCCTCACATTGCAAAAATGTTTATAGATTATATGAATGATGACATGGATGAAGAACTTGTGATACTTTACTTTAAAAGTGAATCACAAGAATAATTTGTGAGTTCTAGTAGGCCTAGACGTCGGAGAAGGAATATAGAGAGGAAACGTGAAGAAGGACATGAGCGTTTATTCAATGATTATTTTTTAGAAGCACCATTGTACACAAATGAGTAGTTTTGTCAAAGATATCAAATGC